TTCTTTTGGCTCTTGAACTGCTCCTCCTTCCCTCACCAAATTCTACATGCTCTTAATGTTTTCCACTTACTGCCTCAAATGAGCAATGCTGTAATTTGAAATTGATAATTCAGTGAGTATCTCAGGCCACCAGATCAGGAGACAAAGTTTTTGCTGATAGAACATGTCTTCCTTACACAGGAATAGAAGACATAGTACATTGGCCCTCTGAGAAAACTCTTGCCAGTGAAAGGATTACAATGATTAGTGCTTCCTGTTATCTAGTGGCAAAACAGTGTTTTGCCAGGAAGAAGTTTCTCTGGGGTTGGAATCTTAAGCTATCAAGTTTACTCTAGATGGCAAAGATCAACCTTGTTGAAAATTGTACGCTGTTTGTAGGCCAGTCATTTTGGCAGTCATCTTGCCTTACTTTAAAAAAAAAAAAAAAAAAAATAAAAAAAAATAAAAAAAAAATTGGTTGTTTCTGTCTCTCCTGAGCCAGTGGAGAGAGTTTGGGCAACTCAGTGGGTTGTTTCTGTCCTAAACCAGGTCAGTAGGGTAAGAGGGAAGAAACCTGGAGCAGTAGTTTTGGTTAGATGCCTCACTTATATTTGGTGAATGCTAGGTGAGATGAATCCACATACAACATTGCCCATCAAAAGGAACATATCAACAGCAAGATCAGAATTAGGCTACCAGTTTAAATGGCCTGATTTCTGGGCTTTTTTTGAGGGCATTGGTTATTCTGCATGAGGTGTTTGAATATTACTTTTCAGAGGAGCTGGACATTATAGGGTATGAACCCTGAATGCTTTGTGACTACTATTGTGTGAACTGTGCCAATGTGGACACTGCACAAAATATTAGTAGTTTGGATAGTCAATGGACTGTTCTTAGCCATCTTTAGATATACCAGTCTGAGATAATTTATTCATGTCTCTAGAAAAGACCCCCTCTTGGACCCCAGAGTGCCCTAGAATCCAGAATAGTAGTAGTCAGGTAATCGGTGATGTGGCTAAAATGAAGAAGTTTAGTAAAAGATTTAATCTGAGTTCTGCTCAAGGTTTGGACATGTTCTTATTTGTGAGCTTAGTTGAAGCCCATCACTAAGCTATTTCCAATCAGGAAAGATATGGAAGTCTGGAAGTTTATTGAAAGTACTCGGAAGAAATGCTTTCTGCTCCAGTGGTTTCAGCAGCTGAGCTGTATCAAACATTGCCTCGTATAGATAAACAAGTATTTGCCCGGAGCTCTATCTGAACTATTCTTCTTGCAGCAGGCTCCTTTCCTAGATTAAAAAAAATACCCTGGTGAAACCATGATTAACAGGGAAAGGCGCCTGTCAAAAGGAAATGCTTGTCTCCATGGAAACCACAGTGTTTTGTGTTAATTGATCTTTCTTTCCTCAGGACTGACTGGGAGCCTCCAGACAAGAAGGTGGACACCAGAAAATACCGTGCAGAGCCCAGGAGCATTTATGACTATCAGCCAGGAAAGTCCTCAGTTCTGAACAATGAAAAGATGGTAAGGTTTGTTTTATCCTAGTTTGTGGCTTTGTCCTGTGATTGTAAAGTACTCCCGAAGTGCTTGTCCAGTTCCATTTGGATAGGATTCCTTATGCTTACATTGCAGTGTGTGTGTGTGATATATTTCTTGCATATTTTGTCTTGAAAACTGTTTTTTCATAACTTCCTAACATTTTTGTTCTCTATAAAGCAAGATCCAGGGGGATTGAGAGGCTTCTTTCCTTTTGGATGTGTTGTTTTCTGTGTTAAGTATGGATCACTAACCCTAGCTTTTAATCCATGTTTGACACTGTGACCCATTCAGCAGCTGTTTTGCCAGCTGTACTTTTTCTAGGGCACAGCATTAGTTGATGCAGGAGGGTTGAAGGCATTATGCAACAAAGCAGGCTGGTTCAGTTTCTGTGTTCCTCTGATGCATTAAACACCAAACAACTAATTTTTAGAATGCATGTCATGTGCCTCAAGGATGCCTCTGAGATGTATTAGGACTGGCCATTTCCCCTAGGCTGCTTTCTTCCTCAGCTGGATCCTACCGCTTCCGTGGCAGGGGTGGCAGAACTGAATGTGAGCTGGCTCCCCAGCTACGCTGGTGTGTAACCTGGAGTATTAAGTGAGCAGTTACCAATTTCAGTTTGAATTAGTGAGTAATGCTGTGAATTGTGATAGCTATAGGACGTGCAAAAATCTCATTCTGCAGGCTTGGCTGGGGACACTTGGCAAGCGGCAGGGCAGAGAGGTGGTGTTAACCTTGTCAGCCAGTCCTGCATAAATCACCATAGCTCACTTAAGGTGTCCTTCAGTGGTACAAGTGTGACACTAAGTGCTAGAAAATACTGAATGAAGTTACTAGTGAATAGCCAGTTTGGTATATAAAGATATAGTTGTTCTATATAGGCATTAATTTGAAGGATTCAATTAGAAGTGCTAATGTAAACTGGACTTTACGCCTTAACAATTCAGGCATTGATCCATGCATGGAGTAGGTAAAGGAATGCTCCTGAAAAACCTGCCAAGGATTTTTACACAAGAGTGAACAGCAATTTAAATCAATAGAAATGTAAGAATCAAGTCTGTCTGGGACCTGATGTTTCTTTTTAGTATTTTGGTGGGTTTTCTTTTTTCCTTCCAAGTGCAATCAAGGTCCATCACTTTTTGAAGATCCTAAAACCAAGTTCTTTTCACACCTGTGTCCCTTCGTTAACTTCAACAGTTGCTCCCAATAGGAGCATGGTCCTAGTGCCTATTGAAGTGAGCGATGGATGACCCTCTCTTAATCCTAATGGGCACTGACTCAGCCCGAGAGAAGTACCAGTGAGGAGTGGTTTGAATGCGGTATGACAAATCCATTCCTGCAACCCATCCTGGAGCAAGATTTCTGCTGACTGAAGTGGCAATTTTGTCTCACAGTAAACAGCCAAGATTTCACCTTGTGGCAAAAGGCCTGCTTCATCTGTGTACTTAAGGCTTTGCAAAAGGTCTGGCATCACCAGTGGCGCACTGTTCACATGTTCAGACTTCATCAGGTACTTAACTGAGCTGTTGAATCAGAGTCTAAAAGCCACAAGCAGGACTCTCATCAGCATAATTGAGAAAAATTGTACAGAACTCATCAAAGACAAGAAGAATGTGATACCTGTGTTACTTCCAATGTTATTTTTTGAGCTTTAATGTCAAGCCATAGATCACAGAAGAAAGAAGGTCTTGAAATAGTGGCTTCATGGTCTCTGTCAGTCTTATTAAATACAAGAGTAATACATTGGTTAGCGAATAGATATTTCATGGAGACAGCAGGAGATTTGTGGATATCTCCTGATAATCACACCCAGAGCTGCGACTATCAGAATCCCAATCCAAAACCATTTCAGAGCAATGAAGAGCTTCTGGTTGATGTCAGTGGGCTTTTTTTTTTTAATGTAAAGGCAGTTATGTAACAAGATGAGTACTTTCAGTTGGAGTGCAGTAAAGAAAAAAAAATTTACTCATTGCTTCTATGTGCCTTTAAGAAACAGCCGAGTCTTTGTCCAGACCATCGGAGATCAAACTTGATGTAACCATTTATCTTTCAGATTGAAGCATTACCCCTCTTTCAGCATCAATCCTGAGCTCTTCTCCTAGAGCTTTTCTTGTGATGCCTAATGCCTGTGGCAGAGTCTGGGACATCTAGCAAAGCCCAGCACTGTTGGGAACTCTCCCCTGCCTTAGTAACCCCATCACAGGATGATATACTTAAGTGCACTTTGTGTTGGTGCTCTGTGTATGTGTGTGGCTCATCGCTTGTTGTGATGGAGCACTTGGGATCACACTGGCCTATCAGACATAATGTATTTATATTTTTAATGCACTGAGATCCATTATGTCTAAGACTAGGTACACTAAAATGCAAGAGTTAGCTAGGTGTCTTTTGGGGAGTGGTACCTCATAACTCTCAGCAATGGACTTTATTCTCTTATCTCACCAGTAGTGTTTTTAAACAGCTGCAACTATTTCAACTTTTTTTGTTCGATTAAAACAGATTGTATGAACAAAAGGGAATTTTCTTTTCAGCTGTACTGTTTTCTGTCCTGTCTGATTTTCTTTTGTTGTAGTTGTGTCTGATTCTTTAACATTTATTTGTGAAGAAACAAGTAATATTGTCTCTATCCATCCCTTCAGAGATCTTTCAGGGATGTGCTCTCTCTGACTTGTGTCTCCTTTGATTTAGAAAACCACCTTTCACTCTGTTTGCAGTATATAGAACAGGGTTTCTCACATATTCATGTGCTGTTAAAGATGCAGTATTTGATTCAGGTCTCACTAAATCTCTCTTTTTTAGCCAAATGAAGATTAAAAAAAAATTTTGAAGTACATGCAGCTTTGGACTCGATCGAAGTGTCGTAACAGTAGGACTTGAGGGACTGGTTGACTCCCAGCTCTTCCATTGAGTCTCCCTGTGACTCTGGGCAAGCTGCATAATCTATCTCTCTGTGGGTCTCCTGATCTGTAAAATGCAATTCATTCATATTCATGTTGCCCACAATGATGCCATTAGGCTTAACTGATGTTTGCAAAGCAGTTCATGGCCTTTGTGAGAGAGGTGCTATAGAAATTCCAAATTATAAGGCTAAATATCTACATTTTAGAATGGAAACCATGAGATCTGCATCTCTAACAGTCCCTTTCCGTGTATTCTTTGCATAATGTTATCCTTCTCTTTCTTCCATTCCCCTATCACCAACTCCTTTAGACTCGGGATATAAGCCCAGAAGAGATAGATTTAAAGAATGAACCTTGGTATAAATTCTTTTCGGAATTGGAGTTTGGGAAACCGGTAAGTTTGATAGTTGCGATGACCAATGAGGTCAACCTGCCTTTTTTTTTTTTTTTTTTTAATGATTGTCACATCTCTTTGCTGGGCCATAAACCTGGAACAGCTGCCTTATTCATTTAAAAACATGATTGTTCATAACATCATCCTGGTACTAATGTAAAGCAGCTGTTCTGTGACCAGTTTAAGTATTTTGAAGCCAATTACAAACATTCCCCACCTTCCAGCCATATGTATCAACAAAGCAACATTTTTTCACGTACCATAGTTCAAACTGTGTTTTTGTTGTTAATGATAGAAGTAATCCCCTGTTCTCATTATTGAAAGTCCTTGTTCAAAGCCCTTACTCTCCCTCTGCCTAACAAGATCTAGGACAGCTGATAGGTAGCTCTAAGTCAAGGAGAATCA